ATGTCCTTAACTTGTAGATACTTGATGTATCGCATATCAGCTTATATAGATATGGAAGCTACCTGCCCTTAACTTGTAGATACTTAATGTATCGCATATCAGCTTGTATAGATGTAGAAGCTACCTGCCCTTAACTTGTAGATACTTGATATATCACATATCAGCTTGTATAGATATGGAAGCTACCTGCCCTCAACTTGTAGATACTTGATATATCACATATCAGCTTGTATAGATATGGAAGCTACCTGCCCTTAACTTGTAGATATATTACATATATAGATATGGAAGCTACCTGCCCTTAACTTGTAGATACTTGATATATCACATATCAGCTTATATAGATATGAAAGCTACCTGCCCTTAACTTGTAGATACTTGATATATCACATATCAGCTAGTATAGATATGGAAGCTACTTGCCCTTAACTTGTAGATACTTGATATATCACATATCAGCTTGTATAGATATGGAAGCTATCTGCCCTTAACTTGTAGATACTTGATATATCACATATCAGCTTGTATAGATATGGAAGCTATCTGCCCTTAACTTGTAAATATATCACATATATAGATATGGAAGCTACCTGCCCTCAACTTGTAGATACTTGATATATCACATATTAGCTTATATAGATATGGAAGCTACCTGCCCTTAACTTGTAGATACTTGACATATCACATATCAGCTTGTATAAATATGGAAGCTACCTGCCCTTAAAGCGAACCTAAATGCGGCCTTAATTTATAGTTGTGTATATTCTAAACTGTATTCGAAATAATATTGCAGTGGTTTAATTTTGTTTTAATTATAACTGTAGCTTGGATAGGCATTTGAAGTGCTTGCCATGGAGGCCATTCATGGAGGGGAATAATTAACGAACGAACATATTTAACATCCGGGTACTTTTCAAAGCTATGACGTTTTAGTATCTGATCGCATTCGTATACGCCATTGTACATAGCCGTTCATGCTGCCAAGCATTGTGTACTATTAGTATAAACTCAACTTTTATATGCACAATGTGCTTTTTAAAACTTGGGTTAGAGCCTTATGCGTTTGAACCACAGTATTCTGAGAGTGAAAGCCCAATTGCGTTAAAGTACCGTACTTCCCCGATCGTAAGCCCCTCCCGAGTATGAAGCCCATCCCTATGTTTTTACTTGGTATTTATCGAGTTGAGGGC